TAAGAAATTATGTGGTAATGTGTTTTTTTCCCCTCTGGCATCTTCCAAGATTTTTTTCTTAACCTTTGACTTCTCTATTTTGAATATTATATGCTTAGGTATGGGGTTTTTGGCATTTATTATGCTTTGGTTTCTCTGAGCTTCCCATATCTATGGTCTCATATCTAACATTAATCAGGAAATTCTCATTATTGCTTCAAATATTTCTTCTCTTCTTTTTTCTCTTCCTTCTCCTAGTGATATTTCCATTATGCATATGACACCTTTTGGAATTGTGCCACAGTCTTGAATCTATTGTTCCATTTTGTAAGTATTCTTACTTTTTGTTTTTCTTTTTTAACTTTTTTTTAATGTTTATTCATATTTTGAGAGACAAAGCATGAACAGGGGAGGGGCAGAGAGAGAGAAGGAGACACAGAATCCAAATCAGGCTCCAGGCTCTGAGCTATCACCACAGAGACTGACGTGAGGCTCGAACCTATGAACTGCAAGATCATGACCTAAGCTGAAGTTGGACACTTAACTGACTTTTTGCTTTTCAGGTGCTCCTACTTTTTGCTTTTCATTTTTATAAGTTTCTATTGACATATCCTTAGAATTTTTCCCACATCTGTACCCTGTCTAGTAAAAAGACAATCAAAGCATTCTTCACATCTGTCAGCTTTTTTTGAATCCTAGCATTTCTTTTTGTAATTTCATAGAATTTCCATTACCTATCTGTTCTTACATACTATTTTTTTCCATTCCAGGCATTTGCATATTAATCATAGTTGTTTTATATTCCCAATATGATAATTTCAACTTAAATTGGGAGAGGGGCAGGGAGATCGTTTACACTGTATGAATGTATAATTGATAAAAATGTCTTTCCTTTTAAAACACAAAGATACAAATTAAAAAATAAAAGATACATGCAATAGTCAATAATTACCATAACTAAAAGATAAAGCAAGATATTGTCCAAGAATTTTTCAGAATTGAGCTGAAAAATGACCTGAGTCTATCCTCATATTGAAAATCCAAATATCAAGCAGCTAGTTTTTGGTTTTTTGTCTTTTTGATCTCCTTAAATTTTATAGAACACCTAATTTCCCAACATTCTTTATTTTCTTAATATCTTTTGGCTCCTCAAAACCTTGAACCAATCTCTTCTCCACTATACTCTTTACATCCTCTTTATTGTTCCTATTTAGTCTCCTTTGTACTTTGTAGATTTCTGGAGGATGTTTCACATTGTATGTGACAAACCACATTCCAGAAAGAACAATTAAATTAGAGTTATTTAAAGGAAGAGTCAGGAGGATATGATAATTATATTTATATATTTCTCATATACATTATCAATAACTAATGATTATTGATTATTGCGGTGCTATCTATTCACGAAACAAAGCTATCAGAGTATTGAATACTTTAGGAGAAATATGAAGCTTAGAATATTTAGGAGAAATATTCGGCTACGTCATTTACATTAGTGACATTCTCCCAATTCCAAATCCTCAGATATGTGCTCAGTAAAATCACAGCACCACATCTTGATTAAATACAGCTGTATAACTACCCAGAACATAGGTTTAATAGCAATCTTCTTGTCATCACTCAAAGATAATTTAAGACCTTAATGCAAAAGTTTACAAATCAATTATTTATAATGTTCTAAATCCCTTTACTGAATCTCTAAAGCTCCCACACTTTTTAAACCCTCACTTCCTAAGAAGTACTTAAAAAAAGAATCCTAGAAACACATCACTAAATAGAATTCCCAGCTTTGTTTTCTTTTCCTAGCTGATTTACACACTCTCCTCTCTGCAATCCTCCTCTTTTCCATGCTTTCCCTTAACCTTTCCTATTAGCCTGTTTTCCCTAATATCCTTTGAAATGGAATGTTAACTAGAGCAGTGAGGAAGTGGGGCATTAGCCCTTCTCTGACCTCTCAGGAAAAAACTGACTGTACTAAAGGCTCTTCTCTTTCGTTAGGACAGAATAATGCCATTGCCTGTAATCCTAATGACTTAATTTGTCTGTAACAAAATTTTCTGGGATGCCAGGCTTTTGAGAACCAAGATAAAAAGCTTCCTAGAGACTGGTGAAGAAAAGAGAGCAATGCTGTTTTAAAGGACATCTCAGTTTGGATTTCTGCCAGAGGTTCTTTCCTTTTGTAATGTCATTCAATTCAACATAGAAGAGAGCATTTCTTAGAGCCTGATGCCCCAGTAATCAATTTAGGTTTGAATATTTCATAAATTTAGAGCTTCAGGTTTCTGTTCCGGGTTATAAAACTTAGAAAAGCTGTTTTTTAAGACAATTGGAACTGCTGACTTCCTGGACATTGCATAGATTTTTATGAGGTATATGAGGAGTAATCTATAAAAGCATAAGGATTTACAGATTCGATATCCTATTAAATGCACGTCAGTTTTAACAGGAGGAGAGAATTAAGCTGTACAATATATATTTCAAATTTTACTGATCCAAGATATTTGAAAACTGGTTTAAGGTGTTAGCCAAGCCAAAAATGTAGTAAAATTCAACCAATTCTGATTTATACCATGTATTTAATCCCACTTCCCTTTGGGTTGCTTTCCAGAGTGTGCATTATCAGTTGATTGCTTTAAAGTATAGAGCAAGTTCAGCAAAACATTATATAAATGGAAGGCAATTATTTGTTCTTCTGTATCAAACTGAAATATAACCCAACATTTAATTTATACTACATATCGTTGGCCTTGCTTTTTGACGTAGGTCAGAAACAAATGTCTCTTAAGTACATAAAAATCAATGAGCTATTGTTTTGTATTATAATCAAAACACTCATTGATCTGTACCTGGGAGAGACTGAAAGTTATTCTCAATGCTCTTTCCATGTCTTTGACATTATTGTCAAATTTCACATATTTCAAATAATTACAACACCAGACAGACATAGATTAACATAGTTTAATTAGGGTCACCTCTAACAAATATAATGACAGCAGAAAACCTATGTATATTCTCCATTTCAACTTAATTATGTAGAGCAGGTATGAAAGGTTAGTAACTAAATGTTTGGTGTGAATGCCATTATGGCCAATGTTCTCAAATAAGAGTTTAGTCTTTAGGAGATGAACTGTAGTATATTGTATTTGGTATGGTTTAAATAACCACCCCCAAATTCAGATAAGTATCTGAACTTTATCCGAACTATCCAAACTTCCTTTAGTTTGTGATTCAAGTCTGAAAATCTCATGAGAACAGATGCTCTTGTAGCTTTCCCTTATTTCCTGCTTTATTGTGAGAACTAGGTTTCCAAAGAAATTCTTACAGGCATAAGAAGTCTGCATGCATGATGCCTGGGGACTTTTTTCCCTTCAAATTAAAATGCTATTGCTTTTATCCAGTTGAAATTTCAGTTCTTATCTTTCTTAGTACAGTAGTCCCTCCCCCACCCCCATACCCCTCCACCCACACCCCTCAGCCCAATCCATGTCTTTGCTTTCTGTGGTCATTTACCTATGATCAACCAAGGTCCGGAAATAGAGGCTCCTCCTTCTAACTTATCATCAAAAGGTCAATCGTAGTCTAACCCTATGTCACAATGCCTTTGTCATTCACTTCACTTCATCTCATCACATAGGCATTTTATCATCTCACATCATCACTATAGAAGGGTAAGTACAGTACCATAATATATTTTGAGAAAAAGAGAGAGAACATTCACATAGCTTTTCTTATAATTTATTATTATAATAGTTCTATTTTATTACGATCATTGTTAGTCTCTTACTGTGCCTAATTTATAATTTAAACTTTATCATAGCTAGGTATGTATAAGGGAAAAACATGGTATACATGTTCAGTACATTTGGGGTTCAGTACAATTGAGGTTTCAGGTACTCACTGGCAGTCTTAAAACATAACCCTATGGATAAAGGGAGACTACTGTATCTCCAAGATGTTCTTTTTTAAAAAAAATTTTTAATCTTTATTTATTTTTGAGAGTGAGATAGAGAGAGACAGAGTGTGAGCAGGGGATTGGCAGACACAGAATCTGAAACAGGCTCCAGGCTCTGAGCTGTCAGCACAGAGCCTGACATGGGGCTCGAACCCACGAACTGTGAGATCATAACCTGAGCTGAAGTTGGACCCTTAACTAACTGAGCCACCCAGGCGCCCCAAGATGTTCTTGATACCTTTGACCACGGTTTTCATCTTGAAATGCTTTCTTCTTTAATCCTCCATGGTATTAGCTACCCCTGATGTTCCATCTTTTTTTTTTTTTTCATCACATCTTTTCAGTATCTGCTTTGACCTTTGCCTAATCTGAATACCCCTTCTTTGTTTGGTATTTTTCAGGCTCTTCATTAACACAGTAAATGTACATTGAACCCTGTCTGTATAACTAACACTGTTATATGCACTTTGTTTATAGCAATAAACAAAGCAGGAAGAAACAAAATCCTGCTCTCCTGGAACATTAACTTCTAATGGAGGTTAACAGATAAGCAAAACAAAAAAAGATATTAAAATATATAAGATATTTGATGGTTCTGAGTATTATGGAGAAAAAAAAAATAAAGCTGAAGGATAGGAGAAAGCCTGGGAGTGGGCAAGGTATAAATAGCAGGAAGATCTCAAGGGAAAGATGACATTTGCACAAATGCCTGAAGGGGTGAGAGTGTGATCATGGGCTATCTGGAGAAAGACCATTCCAAGTAGAGGAAACAGCTGCTGAGAAAGCTTGGAGACTAGTACGTACCTGGTGTGCCGTTTGTCTCACTTTTCTCATCACTCTGCGCATTGTCTTTTCCCATGGACTAAGTTATGGACAAACAGGTTCATCACTCCCAAATCTGTATCTCTATTACGAGTGCCCGATCTCTAACTTCCAGCTGGGCATCTCCACCTGAATGTCTTATGAGCATTTGAAGCCCTGTATATCCCAAACCTAATGTGTTTTTCCCTCTGAAACATATATTGCCCCTGCATTTCTTTTACAATGTTACAAACACTTCCTTAGTGATCAATGGCAGAATCCTTTTAAGCTCATCATTTTCCCTTTCTGTCCACATCTAATTTGCTTTTCCGTTTAACACAAATTACTGAGAAACTGCTGTGTACTAGCCTCTGGGCTACACAGGCTGTGAGAGAAAGATTGATCAGTGCATTAGCCACCTACTCAATTACCAAAAACTTGCGAGGGGGGAAAGGAGGTTGCAGAAAGGTTTGAAAAGGCCTGGAAAATTTTAAACCACATTTCTCTTCTGAGTATTATTAAGGAATTTATTGAAATGGATGATCATCATAAAGATATTTAGAAACAATTTTTCTGATTTTTTGTTACAAATAAAAGAATTACAAATTCCTGAGTACCTATAACTACCTATAACCATGTCTCCACCCTCCACTCATCTACTCTTATGTCTACTAAGTATCTCAAAGTTAACATGTCAAACATAACTCTCTATTCCCCTTGCCACCCACCTCCCCCAAAAAAACCTTGTTCCTTTTCCCTTCTCCTGTATCTTAGTGAATGACACCACTATGTTCCAAACTTCTCAGGCAAAAACTTAGCCATAGTCTTATTTATTTATTTATTTATTTATTTATTTATTTATTTATTTAGACAGCGCATGCATGCACGTGTACATGCATGAGATTGGCAAGGAAGAGTGTACTCCTTGCCTCATAGGTACAATGTGGTTGCTGTCACACTATTCTTCATATTTGCATTCTAGTCAGGAAAAAAGGGGGCAAGGAGAGAAGCTGTGTCTGTCTTTTTGTTAGGAAAGTAAAGCTTTCCCCCAATTTCCTCTTATGTTTCATTATCCAGAAACAGACTTCTCTGTAAGTCTCATTGCTTCCAAGTAGGTTAATGAGCAATTCTGGCAATAAGAGATATGGGGAAAGCTCTTATCTAACTTTAAAACCCCAATACTGGGAAGAGGCAGGGGAGGAAGCAATTGCCTCCTGGGTGAGCCAAATAATCTCTACCACACTGGCCTTCAGTCTGTTCCATAAACATACCAAACTAAGTCCTCCATTAAGGCCTTTAAATGAGCCAATCCCACTGCTAAGAATGTTTCTCCCTCATAATTTTTCACAACTTCTCCATTTTTGTCATCCAGATCTCACTCCAAGTATCATTGACACCCTTTCTGATGACCTTGTCTGAAACTGTCCCCCAAAACCTGTTCTTCTCTATGCCATTGCACTATTATATATTTTTAAAACACTTAGAATAAGAAGCATGGCAGAATAGAAGAGTAACTTCTCCATCTTTGGAGGGCGGAGAAGTAGAGAAAGGAAATCACACATTAGCTGAAAAGCAAAAATCAGAAAAAAAATAGAGAAGTTGGCTTCTCCTTTATCGAATATCCATACTGCCCATGTTCTTTAGCCTCCCCATCACCCCCTGGTTTTATCCAATTTCCCTTCCAGAGTTAGAAACAACTGGCTATTCTAGGGGTGTTGAGCAGATGACATAGAGATCACTTGGAAAGGTGGTGCTGTGGACTGACCCACTGCCAGGGAGTAATTGTTTCAAAAGGATAGCTTGCTTCTGGCATTCTATGCTACAGTTGAGACTCTTGACTTTTCAGCCTCCAAAGCCTAAATGTTTGCCATGATTAGAAGAAATCTGGCATTTTCAATGCTCATATGTCCAAAAGCTGGAAAACTAGAAAATGCTAAGAGTGTCAAATTGGTGTCCACTTTGGAATATTTGGCCCAGGAAAATGTATATTCTCATGCTGCAGGAAGTTGGTTTGCAAAATGAAGCCTGAATTGAAGCCAAAAAGCAAGCACCATTTGCCAGAGTGTAGATGAAATATGATCGTTTGCTGCACAAAGTTTCTTTTTAAAAGTTATTTGCAGCTGCCATGACACATCTTTAAAGTTGTAATATGTAGAACTGTTGGAATTCCAACGGAGGGAAACAAATCTCAATTGTTTACATTTAAACATGATGTAGTAAGATACTAAGGAATAAATGTAAACATTATAGATTGGACAAAGCATTGTAAGTGAAACGTGCCTCAAATCAAAGCATAGATTTAAATGGTCCAAAGAAAAGCAGAAATTCTCATTTTCATATAAAAGCTGCATCACTATTATTCTACTGAGCAAACTTTCCTGTGGTATGTTGAGAGAAAATACAATGTTTTAGAAGCCTTTAAGTCAAAGTAATATGATGACGACACTCCATTGCTTGTAAAAGCAAGAATTCTTAACAGATAATAATACCCTTAATTCCATTTTGTTTCCTTTGAAGAAAGGAACATAACCATAGAAACTCGTTATGTGAAATTTACTGGTTAAAAAAAACACAAAATGTTTGACTTAAAAAGTTAAAAACTATATGTAACCAATAGATATAAAAAATTAAGTGTTACCTATAAAAACTATATGTAACCAATAACTGTTAAAATAGATTAAAATCTGGCAAGCAGCTAGAAAACAGAGGGTGTTTGCAGAAGTGAAGAGAGGAAAGAAAGGAAAAAATAAAGACAGATAGACAGACAGACAGACAGAAAGAAAGAAAGGAAGGAAGTGAAATGCAGAAGACAATGGGAGAGGTTTTTAATTTTACTTTTCAGTCTGTTCTATTGAAGAATAAGTTCAAGAAAGTGCCAAGATACAGTTTTCAATGTCAAATTTCCTATTCTCTGGAGACATCAGTAGGAATTTAAGGTATAAAGCATAGAGGAATAAAGTTTGGGAGGAAATAGTTTATTCTAATAAAAATATGTTTGTGTTCCTCATTGAATTCACACTCTTATTTGGAGAGAGGGCAGTTAATGGATGAAACATCTTTTCAATTCTCCATTCCTTATCTAGTTACCACCCACACTAACCTTTCCACTTATTTGTTACTCTTTTCAGGAGATGCTGTTAATTGGGGAAATACAAGCTTTTAGTGAGAATATACCCACTGGCCTTGTCTCATTTGCCTTTGTGCCGACTTCAGATCACACTTCACCTTAAAACGCAAAAGGCAAAACACTTAACCTCTATCTGCAGTAAGACTTTCTGGGTTCAAAACTGGCTCTCTCACTTATTCAACTTGTAACTTTAGACAAGTCATTTAATATTTCTTGCTGCAGTTTCCCTACCTGTACAACAGAGGTAATAACAGTTAACACCAACCATAAGGGTATGGATAAGGGTTAAGTAAGATCAAAACCGTGTAGTGCTTAGAATGGACCTGGACTTTAGTAAGTCCTCATTAAGTCATGGATATTACTATGATTACCTTGTGCCACAAGTAACTAGCTGAGGAACAAACATGAGTAAACAAGCAACCATTAATTAATATTAATGAATTAGCTTCCCTTATACCTAGATAAACAAAGCACAACATTATCCTACTTTATCCTATCCTAATTCTAGTCTATGTTGTACTAAGACATTTAGCCCTTACCAAATGGTCCATACAATAGACCAAAAATAAAGTCCTTACATTTGCCAGCCTCCTTTGCAGTTAATTTGGAGCATATAGCTAATATGTGGCTGATGCATAGGAGAAAGTGATAGATACTTCTACCCATAAAAGCTCTAGCTCTTTCTTCCTCAGCCAAAGCACCCTTAGAGGGCATGTGCTCCTGATGGTGTAGTTTTCAGATGAAGGACAGCATCCCAATATGCATCACACTTTTCATGAATGAGACATAAGACTTTATATATTAAACCACTGAAAATATATAGTTTGTTTGTTACCATAATATTGCCTAGCATAATCCTCATTACCATAGTGGTCAAAATGGTGCATAGATTCCTAGTAAAGGAATTAGAAACAAAACAAACAATACAACATTATTCCAACCTCTTAATAATATCCAGGGAAGTCTATTATCTCAATTAAAGAAGATTCAAACCTCCTTCTCTTAATTTCCCTGACTGGCACACTGTGACCAATTCTGGTCCATAGTATTTTTATTTTCTTTCCAACTTGGCATTCTTTATTTCAAATCTAAGGAGCATATTTAGCATGGCCTTAACTCTCTGGGCTGTTTTCTGGAGCTAAATATCTAAACGTAAATACCACTAGTGGATTTCTGCTAATTCCTTCATTGGAGAATACAGAACACAAAGCATCCATTTGGCATAGTGGCTATAGTTCAGGTGGAAACGGTGATGCTAAAAGATGGTTCCTGCATTCCTCCGGAACCATTTCCTCCCACTTACGGTTGCCTCACTGGGTGACGTTTATCTCTGTACTTCTTCCTTGTGTAACCATTAGGCAAGATACCATCCTATTATGTCATACGTTTATTTGAGTTACTAGTGGATTTATTTTTAGTGAAAAGATGGATGTACTGTGATTAAGCTAAATTGTTAACTTCATTTGACAAGTTCTATAAGGATGTCTTGCTCTTTGAGTTATAAAAAGCCATGATAAAATACAAATACAAAGTTATCTCAAAAAGGCCAAAGATTTCCCCTGCCATACCCAAGAGGCAGAGCACATATTTAAAAACAAAACAAAAATGTGGGCTGGAAAATGAGAAGTCAAGGACTAATGCTATAATGATGACATGAAGGTTGATTTGTATGTTCTGAGGTTTTTAAGGGCAGACATTGATAGATCAGAGATTTGCCTTAGGGACTACAATGGTCCTATAATCTAAAGTGCAGGAACTCTTTTAGGGGAAGGACAAATATAAAAGGAATTAACTTGAAAGACTCATTGGATAAGGTGATTTTAGTGTTCAAGAGAAAATTTTTGAGAAAGAGTCTCTGGTGCCAGGTTTATTTTTATGACACTAGTCAATGAAAAACTTAAAAGCCATTATTTGTAAAGTTATGTGTATACTAAGTAGGATCCAGGCATCCAAGAGCCCTGGCTTTGGTATTTCAGTGAAAGGCCCAGGGTACAGTCATCATTATTCATGTAAAATTGTGAATTTTATAAACAGAAATAAAAAGAAAGGACAAAATATACTTTAAAAGAATATGGCATTTTGAATGATAGAAACACTGTACTTTGCTGTTCTAAGTATTCATCTTGCTTAATTGAAGTAGGAAAACACATCACTAGAGACTTTTTAGAGTCTTTTTCTACCTGAACAAAACTAATCTTTTAAAAATGTATAAAAAGAATTGCTTGTTTACTTCTCTGTTTTTAGTTGAATTTGTTTTGGTGAAATACTAAGAAATATATTAGCAAAATGAAGGGGGAGGACTTGGATGATCATGAAGATAATTTTGTCTTTATAATAACTGTTTTCACCTAAAATATTAAAACTATCTGGTCCATAAGATTTTTACAATACTTTGTAAAATGAATTGTAGAGCTAAGTTCAGCTGTTACCTAGACAAGAGATATCTGTGTGGTGAGCTACCACAAAACCTAGGATAAAGGAATTTTTGTTGCTAGTATAAATTATCTAGTTTTCCTGCTGACATAGCTTTTTTTTATTTTACCTCTGAGGATGTAAGTTATAGGAAATTATAGCACTTTAGGGATATTCTAAGCACTGCGACTTTTTCATGAGGCATACTTTACTCATAAGTTTTCTCTGTTTAGGAATTTCTTATTCTTGGTAATCCCCCAGAAGCACTATAGTATAGGACAGCCTATACTACAAGGACATCCTTTGCAAAATCAGTAATTCATTTCACATTTGATTTGTCGTCTCCATGTGGATCTGGAGAAGAAAATTATCCTGGAGCTTCCTTGAGCACTGTGATGGTTAATTTCATGTGTCAAATCATCTGGGTCATGGATTACACAGATATTTGGTCCAATGTTATTCTGCACATTTCTGTGAGGGTGTTTTTGGATGAAATTAACACTTAAATTGGTGGATTTTGCTTAAAGCAGATTGCCCTCCATAATGTGTGTGCACCTTATCTAGTCAGTTGAAGGCCTGAATAGAACATAAAGACTGTTCTTCCCTGAGCAAGAGAGAATTCTATAGCATCTTCCCTCAGATTGGAACTGCAGCCTTGGCTATCCTGGGTCTACAGCCTTCAACCTACAGATTCTGGACTTGCCAGGCTTCATAATCATAAGGCCAAATCTTTATAATAAATTCACACACACACACACACACACACACACACACTCTACTGGTTCTGTTTCTCTGGGAAATCCCAACTAATACAGGATTGAGTACATATCTGCAGAAAGATTAACCTGATCTACCTCCTGAGAGGAATATATTAATAGGACAATTTAGATAAGTATGAATCATGCCCAGCAGTCTCTCAGTGACATTATTATATTTTTATAAGAAAAACAAGACAGCCAAATCCATCTGTGATTTGAAAAATGTCATGAGGTCCTTCCACAAGGTGCCTTGGATTATGCTTTCTTCTAGCTATGGGGAATATTTCTTTGTTTTGTTTCTAACCAAACTACTGAGGAGAAAGATAAAGAAAGAAGTTTCTATTCCCAATATCTGATGGACCATCAGACTATAAACTCCTAGAAGATCAATCTAACTCTGTTTAGGACTCTTGGAAATGGCCCTCATCCACAATTACATGAGAGCAGATCCTTACTAGATGCTCCTGAGGAGTAAACAAAACAAAACAAAACCAAACAAAAATTTTAAAAAAACAAAAAACAAATCAACTAAAAGTTCATCTTCACAGCATGCACTTTTCCTTCTATGCATCTCTTTAATAATGAAAAGAAAAGGTGGAAGATATAGGAGACAAGTTAGAAGTCCAGGCTCTATAGAATTAGTTGAATGAACAATGTAAAAATATTAGAGAATCATAGAACTTAGGCACATGTTATCTTGAAAGTCTCAGAATGGCAATCAAAGGAATATTCCAAAGCTAGGACTTGAACAAATAAAAATCTTTAGGAAATAAAACAGAATGAATGGAGTGGCTGAACATGCCAGAAATGGAAGAAAAATCCTAGAGTTAAGAGATATATTTTTTCCACTCAACAGACATTTATTAAACACAGACTGTGTCAAGTGCTATGTTATTTTCTAAAGTACAATAGTTTTGAACTTGGATCAAGAGGCATAATGCTAGGCAAACATAGATGTAATTTTTCTCCTCATTTGCTACCAAAAAATTCTCCAGTCACCACTAGTACTGCATTTCAACTTTTAAATGCACATACTTTACCCAAACTCTCATAAGTAAGAATGAGTGATAGGTGTTTTAAAAGTATTTCTCTCATCTGAAATTTTGTTTTTAAAGGAAGAATAACTTAAGCCAAAGAGAATAGTAGAAAAGAATAATAAGGTTACAGGAAGGAAAAAGGAGATGGAGAAATGGGAGACAGAGAAAGAACAAGATGGGGTAGAGAAAGATTATGGGGAAATATTCAGACCTTCTCATTCTCCTTAAACACACTCAGTACTATTGCCAAAGGCCAAGAGTCACAGGGACAGGCATCCCAGACTCACTATCAATGATTTATCTAAGAATGTTTATGTTTAATTTTTTTTAAATTGTGTGTGTGTGTGTGTGTGTGTGTGTGTGTGTACATGTGTGTGTCTATAACAACTATATTCTGATTTTCTTTGCAAGGGCTAAGATTTATGTTTGCTTGAAGACATCTAAATCAAAACAATAATAGGACAATAATGAAATTCAAGTTACTTTGAAATTTAGTTTTCTCCTAGAGAATTCTTACATCAAGGACAAAATCAAAACACAATGGGAAATATTTAGAAAATGGCAACAATAACGAACAAAAGACTGTTAGCACCTAACAATAATGGCTAATATTTTCCCAATTAACCCACGTATCTAAGAAGCTCATGAATAACAAGCATAATGAAAAAATAAAACACATCCCCCCACACACACACACACCAGAAAACATCACGATCAAATTGTTGAAAAGTATTAATAGATGCTAAATACAAAAGGAAATAAGACACATTATGTACAGTATAACAAAATTAAAAATGACAGCATACTTCTCATAAATAATGTAACCCATAAAAAAATATTAGGAAGAAAAATGCCAACCTAGAATTCTATACCTAGCAAATACCTTTCTAAATAAAAGGTAAAATAAATAATTTTTGAGGCATAAAAAATCTAAGGATTCACCACCTGCAGATCTGCACTATAAGAAATGTCAATGAATTTCTTTAAGTGAAAGGAGATTATAACAGATGATAACTTTGAATTTACACAAAGGGAAGAAGAGTGACAGAAGTGATAAAATATATGAGTAAATACAAAAGCCATTTTTCTCATGTTTAATCTCTTTAAAATACAAGTAACTAATGCAAAAGTAATAAAAGTATTGTGGGTTTTAAAATGCATACAAATAAAAAATAAGATAAAATAGCACACTAGAAGGGGGGGAATAGAAGTAAACTGTTGGAAAGTTCTTATGCTACATATATGAAATTGCATAATACTGTTTGAAGATAGACTGTAATAAATTAAAGATTTATATTGTAAATCCTATATCAATCACTGAAAAACAAGCAAAAAGTTGTAGCTAATAAGCCAAATGTGAAGATAAAACTTAATGATAAAAGGAACTCAATCATTCTAAAAGAATTGGAAAAAAGAATAAAGAAACAAATATCTGATATAATAAATAGAAAACAAACAGCAGGATGGCATATTTAAACTTCACCACATCAAAAATTGCATTAAATATAATTTATCTGAACATGTTCATTAAAAGACCAAAAAAATTCATTTCAAAATGAAAAATGACCCAATTCAATAAAAATGCATAGTAATGCTGTCTATATATAACAATAGAACTTTAGAATAAATGAAGAAAAAAACTAAAAGTAGACAACTCCACAATTATAATTGCAAATTTCAACACTATTGTCTAGTAATTGGCAGAAAGAATAGACAGCAAATTGGCAAATCATAGAGAAAACTTGAACATCACTATCAAACAACTTGATCTCATCGATATTTACAAAACATGGCATCCAAAGATAAGTGTAATGTCATTAATTTCACAGAGCAAACAACATAGTCCTTAATCTAAGGCATAAAATGAGTTTTTAAGTAATTTTCAAAAGGTTGAAATCAGATAACATCAGCAAGAGAAAAGAATAGGAAGCACCAGACAATTCCCCCTCCACAGAGATACCAACTCAACATCAGTACAGAGAATAATTCCCTTAATGAGAAATCCAAAAGCTAGTTAAGATCTCCTGCATTCCAGAGAGACCAGCCACATCAAAACTGCTAGAAAAATGTGTGTCACTCACTCACCAGAGCTCTCACATCAGCACAGCATGGTGATTGAGGGGAAACTCCCAAGTCCTGGCTTCTCTCTGGGGAAAGAAAGAGAAGACTGAAACATGCATTTAATGTGTAGACTTTTTAGGAGGCTACCTGAGGGACTAGTATTTGCTTTGCCCGAATCTAAGTACTGACAAAAACGGGTGCCCAGTCAGGGGCTACTGAGAAAAAAAAAAAAAAAGTGACAGTTTGTAGTACTAGAACATACTTCCTTGCTATAGTCCTTATCCAAGGCTCAGTGTGGAATGAGAGGGAAAAAACTCCCGACTCCTGGATTCTCCCTGGGGAGGAAAAGAGTTGAAGCATCCATCCAATATTCCAGCTTAGGGTGGGAATCTGACCCAAGAAACTGGTTTCTCTCTCACTAGTCCCAGAGAACTAAACTGGTATAAACACCTGGGGGCCACTAGGTGGCTTACTGCTGCTCCAAGGACCACATGATACAGCGACCGCAAATACAATCTAGCTGTCTTACTCTCAGAGCAAAAAGGGGAAGAGTAGAGTGTTTGTCCCATATTCCGGCTTTTAGGGGTGCTGCCTGAGGGATTGGTTTCTAATTTTTCAAACTCAGACTGTTGACAGGACCCAGTGTACTCCAGATAACTGAGGGCTCTGGAGAACAAAAATCAGCTGGGCAATGTACAGCAGTTCTAGAGAGGCTGCAGGATTACAAACAGGTAACAGAGAGAGTAAGGGTTTCTAAGCTTCAAGACAAAGAAGCTGGTAAAACCTCTTTAATTGGGAATTTACCCACACAAGTCTGGAGAGGATATATCCACAGAAAAAGCTTTCAGAAGTCCCCAGAATCCCTACTGGGGCTGATTGGTAAAGATCCTTCCCTGTACTAAGACAGTCTATACAGATTGGAAGAGGTGGTTTATCCCAATACAAAGTAATAAAGCATGCAAAGTAAGAGTAAAACATGGCCCAAACAAAGGAAATAATATATCTCTAGAAACTGACCCTAAAGAATCAGAGATATAGGAATTATATGGAAAAGAATTAAAAATATCTGTCTTAAAGATGCTCAATGAGCTCAGCAAAACAAGGCATGAATAAGATTGCAATGTTAATGAAGAGAAAATATTTTTTAAAAACAAGGAAATTTTATAAGTGATAATACAATATTTGACTTGAAAAAATTCAGTAGAGGAGTTCAACAACAGACTTGATCAAACAGAAGAAAGAATCAGTGAACTCAAAAACAGATCATTTTAAATTATCTATTCAGAGGAGCAAAAAGATAAAAGAATGAATAAAAGTTTAGACAGTCTAAGGGAATTATGGGACACCACCAGCCATATACTAATTATGGGAATTCTAGAAGGAGAAGACAGAGAAAGAAAGGTGAAGAAAACTTATTTGCAGAAATAGTGACCCAAAAAACTTCCTATATCTGGGGAAGAAAATGAGCATCTAGATCCAAGAAGACCAACTGATTCCAAAGAGGATTAATTCAAAGAAGGATACACTGAAACACATTGTAATCAAATTGTTAAAAGTCAAAAACAAAGACATAATTTTGAAAAGAGCAAGAGAAAAGCACCTTGTCATGTGTAAGGGAGCCTCCATAACACTATAAGCAGACTTTTTGACAGAAACCATGCAGGACAGAAGGTAGCGGGATGATATATTCAAAGTACTAAAACAAAAACTACCCACAAAGAACACTATATCTAGCAAAACTTCCTTTCAAATTTGAAGGAGAAATAAAGACTTTCTCAGAAAAACAGAAGCTGAGGGAGTCCTCACCACTAGATCTGCCTTTCTGGAAATGCTAAAGGGAGTCCTTCAAGTTGAAATGAAAGGAGCCTAGATAGCACCATGAAAATATATGAAAGTATAAAGCTTGCTGGTAAAGGCAAATAAAGAAACACATATGGAATACTGTAATACTATAATGGTAGTGAGTAAATCACTTTTTTTAATTAGAAAATTTTTTTAATGTTTATCTATTTTTGAGAGAGAGAGACAGAGTGCAAATGGGCAAGGGGCACAGAGAGAGGGAGACAGAGAATCTGAAGCAGGCTCCAGGCTCTGAACTGTCAGCACAGAGCCTGACATGAGGCTTGAACGCACAAACTGTGAGATAATGACCTGAGCCAAAGTTGGACGCGTAACCGACTGAGCCATTTAAGCACCCCTACAAGATTCACTCTAGATTTGAAAATACACATAGGCTGAGGGATGGAATAAGATAGTTCATGCAAATGGTCAACAAAAGGTGCAGGAGTGACCACACTTATAATAGACAAAATAATCTTTAAACTTAAAACTTTCACAGCAGACATAAAAGGACATTATATAATAGTAAAAGGGACAACTTAATAAAAATACATAACACCTGTAAACATATTAGAACCCAAATATATGAGGCAAAAATTGATAGAATTGGAGGTAGAAAGAGACAGCAACACAGTACCAGTAGGAGATTTCAATATCCTTTCAATAATAGAACAACTAGATATAAGATAAATAAGGAGTCAGAAGACTAGAATAACACTATAGGAAAAATGGACCCAATAGATACATATAGAATATTTCACTCCTTGGCAACAGAATTCACATTCTTCTCAAGTGCACTCAGAATATTTTCAAAGGTGTATTAGGTCACAAAACAAGTCAACAAATTTAAGAAGATTGAAATGGTAACATGTGGATTTTTTATTTCTGACCACATGGAATGGAACTAGAATCAAAGCAGAATTCACAAATAAGTGGATATGAAACAACACAATCTTGAGCAAATAATGAGTCAAAGAAAAAAATGAAAAGAGAAATTAAAAACAATTGAGACAAACAAAAACAAAAGTACAATATAGCAAGAGATGGGGTTCAGCAGCAGCATTACCAACAAGAGATTTATAGTGGCAAAAGCCCACATTTGAAAAAGAAGAAAGATCCCACATAAACAACCTAATTTATTCCTCAAGGAATTAGAAAAAGAAGAATGAATGAATCCTAAAAATTATCAAAAGGAAGAAAATAATAAATATGAGAGCATAAATAAATTAAAAATAGAAACAACGGAAAAAATCAATAAAACTTAGAGTCAGTTTTTTTGAAAAGGTAAACAAAATTGAGAAGCCCATATAGATTAAGAAAAAAAAAGAAGATTCAAATAAATAAAATCAGAATGAAAGAGGAGACATTACAACTATTGATGCCAAAGGTGGGGAAAAGGAAAAGGGATTTGTAAGAGACTATTGTGAGCAATTAAATGCCAAAAAAAAAAAAAAGGATAAATTTCTGGACATATAAAATGTATCGAGACTGAATCATGAAGAAACAGAAAAATCTGAGCAAACATATAACTAATAAGGAGATTGAATCACTAATAAAAATCCTCCTAACAAAGAAAAGCCCAGGACCCAATGGTTTTACTGCAGAATTCTAGAAAACATTTATTTAGAATTAACATCAAGCCCTTTCAAACACTTCCAAAATATAGGAGTGTTTCCAAACTCATTTTGTGAGGCCAGCATTATCCTAATACTAAAGCTAGACAAAGACATTATAAGAAAACTATAAACTAATATTCATGATGAATATAGATAGATACATGAATACTTACCAAAATATTAGCAAACTGAATTCAGTGGCACACTAAAAGGCTCATAAGCTACGATCAAGTGGGATTTATCCTGGGATGCCAGGATGAAAATTAATCAATGTGATACACCACATTACAAAAAAAATAAAACTTACATAATCATCTCAATAGATGCAGAGAAAGTATTTTACAAAATTCAACACCCTTTAATGATAAAAAAAAAAAAGTCAACAAACTAGGAATAGAAGGTAATTATCTCAACAAACTAAAGTCCACATATGTAAAGCCCACAGCTAACATCATACTCAATGGTGAAAAGGCAAATGCTTTCATCTAAGATCAGCAAAAAGATAAAGGTACCCACTCACCTCATATTCAACATAATACTGGAAGTCCTATAGAGAGCAATTAAGCAAGAAAAAGCCATTCAAATTGGAAAGAAATAAGCAAAATTATCTTTCTTCACAGATGATATAATATTCTTTAACGTTTATTTTTAAGACAGATACCAGGGGAGGGGCAGAAAGAGACGGAGAGAGAGGCTCTGAGGCCAGCTACCTGCTGACAGCAGAGACCAGGATATGGAGTTTGAACTCAAGAACCCTGATATCATGACCTCAGCTGGAGTCAAACACTTAACTGAGCCACCCAGGTGCATAATCTTGGTGAACCACCACCACCACCACCAACAGAAACCTCCTCCAAAACAAAAACAAAAACACCTTGTTAGAATAATCAAATTCAGCAATATTGCTAGATACAATCAACACTCAAAAATCAGTTATTTTTATATACACTAACAATGAACAACCTAACAAGGAAACCAAGAAAATGATACCCACTTACAATAGCATCAAAAAGAATAAAACACTTTTGAATAAACTTAACCAAAAAGGTGAAGTTTATTTCAGCACACTGAAAACTATAAATTATTGCTAAAAGAAATGAAAAACACAAGTAAGTGGAAAGACATACTGTACTCATGAATTAAAGGACTTAAAATTATTAAAAGGTTCATGCTAGCCAAAGTGGATTCAATGCAATCTCTACCAAATGGTAATTCTTTTTTGCAGAAATAGAAAAACCATCTGAAATCTGAAAAATTCATATGGAAGCACAAAGTTTCCAGGCCAAACAATCTTGAAAAAAAAAGGACCAAACAATCTTGATAAAAAACAAAACTGGAGGCCTCACAATTTCTCATTTAAAAACATTACAAACCTGCAGTAATCAAAACAAGAGATTTCTTTAGAGGGAGAAAGAGAGAATCTTAAGCAGACTCCACACTCAGTGTGGAGCCCAATGCAGGGCTCAATTCCACAACCCTGGGATAATGACCTGATCCAAAATCAAGAGTGGGACACTCAACCGACTGAACCACCCAGCTGCCTTGCATGATTCCATTTATACAAGGTGTTTACAGTAGTTAAACTCAAGGAATAGAAGGTAGAAAGGTAGTTGGCAGGGCCTGAATGGAAG